AACAAACAAATTAGTTTAGTTTTAAAGGACAGAAAAGATACTTTTAAGACACTGGAATAATACTGAACTTTGTCAAAAACACATCCACCATTAAAATGGCAAGAAATTAAAGTTCTACTCCCTGTAATGCTTACAAATGAGCTTAGGATTTAACAATCAGTTTCCTGCAAAGCGTTTGCCTACCTTATATTCAGTAGTGGTCTAGTTTTGTGAACTTGGACATCACAGATAGGACAATACTTGCTGGTCTCCAAGTAACGCACAATACATGTTTTACAGACTAGAAAGAGGAACACAAAAAGTTTCTGTGAATTTAGAAAGCTGAGGTTTAAACGTTAATACTATCAGAACTGAAAATTCAAGAATGGGAAATGACAAAGGTATTTCTCAAAGTAAAAAAGTGAAACCAATTAATATCCTGAACACTACAGACTGCCTAATTCTCACAAATCACTACATGGAAAAGAAAGGAAATCCCACAACTGTGAAGAAACGTTTCCAAGGCATGAGGGAAATGCTGCAAGCTTTAACAGTCAGGATGAGCTGTGGGCTGCACAGACACAGGAAAGCTGAAGGGTACTCACAGGAATGCAGACACTCTATTATGGTGGTGGCATCAATGAAGTACCCTCCACAAAGTACACACATTAGGTGGGGATTCAGCTCAGTGATCTTGATTCTGGTTGTTCGATGCATTTCTGCTTGATAAAAGATCCTGTAAGACACGTACAAAAAAAATTGGCCATAATTCAAAGAAACTGAGTCACGATTATCTCCAGGATCCCAAGTAACCGTATACCCTATAATGCAGAGCGGGTTCGTAAAACTCGCTTATCGCGGTACAGCTGGATCTCCAACCGTCTTCCACGGAAGGAACTTAACTACTGAGATCAGAATAACCTCCACTGAAATGGTGTAAAAGGATCCAACTAAATTTACTTCTGGCCTCTGGGGTCAGATGAAAAGGTCTGGGATGGGGGCTGGGAGGGGAGTGGACTCGGGTCTCTTTCTTCTGTGTCCTTCTGCTCCACAGACACCACGCAGCTCCGCGGACACCACGCACACCCCGCGGAGATTTACTAGCCACCAGGCTCCATCTAAGTCTCCGAATTTACTGTGGAATTTCCTGCAGGCCCTCCAGTCCAAAGCTTCGGGACTCTGGTTTGGACGGCTCAAACAACCAGAACCTGGCAGGGCTGGGGCCGCCCCAAGAGAAAGCGCTCGGCGCCTCCTGCACCCCGGCATTTCCGGACTGGGTGCGCAGGAGAGAAGGACCCAGTGGGCTTCGGCTGAGGCCTGGGCGCCACGGACACGGGCGGGATGTGAGGGGCGGATCCCGAGGTGCCCCGGGCTAGGTCTTGCTCCGGATTCGGAACTCGCCTCCGTTGGGGTTTCCATAGCAACTTAGTCTTAGACTTGGCATCCGGCCACCGCTGCAACTCTGCTCGGAGCCGGCCAAGCCGAGCCTCTGCGGGCGTGCGGGGTGGCGGGCGCGGGGGAGGGGCGGGGTGGGGCCGAAGGGTGTGGATCCCCGGGTGACCGCCACCACAGTCCCAGCCCCAGCGAGAGTGCGCTGGCCATTCCAGACACTCTCCGGGGCTCTTCCACCGAGAGGGGAGAGCCACTTTCTTATCTTGCCTTTTTCTGTCTGTCCTGTTAGCAAACGTCAGAAATTTCACTAAAAGATCTTTCGAGAATTGCCAACCGTGCACTTAGCCCCTGCCAGACAAGGCTGGAGTTGCAGAGACGTTTCTGAACTGACCCTCCAAGGCTCCCTTCTCTAACAAGTCCTCCAGTAGAGCAGATGAGCCATGCAAAGTTTTTGGGAGGGCTGAACACTGAAATCTGTTTTAAAAGAAGGGGCAAACCTCTATTTGAATAAACTATGCTGGGGGCAGGAGAAGCGGGGAGGATTGGTGACAACATGGAAAGACAGATGCGGAGTAAAGACGGGGTGGGGGAAACAAATGTCATTTTCTCACCTAACTTTCATCCCATACTCACAGGATGAAATGAGAATCCCAAAGGATACATTTTAGGAAACTCACAGTTGAGAACGGTCAGCAACAGACGGCACTCAGGGAAGTCAGTTACCTGCCCTGCTGGGGAAGGAGCTTTCACTCTTTACATCTAAACCAAGACTGACCCTCTAAACCTGACTGAAGTACAAGCCCTCTACGCCTACTGAAATGGAAATCTGGGACTTGCATAATTTGGAGCAAAATACACCTGGGGCTTCAATGCTAAGGAAATTTTAATACAGAAGAGGGAAGTACCAGCTATATACCCCAATGGCTGGAATTAACAGTGATGAACACTAAAGATGGCCCAAGCCCAAAACAAGCTTCTCTGTAAAAGTGACTCAGGGGCAACCTGGGACTTCAACCAGAAACCTTCTTTGGATTACTTGTTTGGAATGCTGTCAACAAATAGCATCAATCTAAGTGGAGTCATAGAGGGGCACGATGGGAATCAACCATACGTGGTGATTAAAGATCACTCCGCCTGGTGCTTACAGAAAATTCTCTTGGGAAACCACTGTCTCTTTCCTAGAAAGGTGCTCAGTGAGGCTGACACTCTGCCTAAGCAAGAAACCAGACCCTACTCACACCGCCCATCAAGGAGGTACCCGGAAGGCTCTGCCTTTCCCCTTCTCTGTATTACAGAAGGCACACTCTATCACATTAGCACACACACATACTCAAACAACAGTCAAGTCTCAATAGGTGATCTTTGTTATCTTTGAACATTTCAGTCACGTGGACTTGAACAAAACCTCTCAAATTCACATTAAATCGGAATCCACACAACTCTCTTACCTTAGTTGAAAACAATTTGGCCCTGATCCTACAACCATGCATAATGCTAATCAATTATCATGTTGTTACTGACACAAACATCAGTTCTTCATCATTTTATCCTCTTGGGCGGTACTGACCACCTCATGAAGACTCCATGCTTGGTAAGACTTAAGAAAATCTCTTGTACCACAGAAACTGCCTGGAAGTCAGCAAAAAAAATACAACAAGCACACAGAGTTATACATACAGGTAAAACATGCCTTTCTAACCTACTCAGCTGGAGCTGTCAGTGTTTAGTCAGAGGCCTAACACCAGTAACGTCAAATTGAAGGAAACAGAAGAAAGCTCTTATGTTAACAATCAGCTTGAGGACGGAAACCTAAGAAATGCAAATGAACTCCATAATCCCACTTGGGGTCACTGCTCAAATGCAAGTGTGGGTAAAGCTGGGGGTGACTTGACTCCTGGGGAGAATTTTGCCTATTTGGACACAGCATACTTTCAAGAGCTCGGTGATAAGAGTGTTGGTGGACTTTTGAAATGCATCCAAATGCTTACTTGCTTTACAAAAGTTTGTATGTGACTATATTTGAGTGTCTACACATGCATACACAATCTTTTACATAGCTTTAGAGATATTATTACAAGAGTATAATCTGACCTAGTAGGTTATTTCAAGTATCTCACTTTCATAAAAGATTTATGGAAATGAACTCCTGGGTAAAAATTTTACTTAAAAACAAAACAAAACAGCCTCTTGAGAAATTCTCCTCAATCTCTCACTAGTCTACTTAAGACCCAAATGTTACTGCATAGCCTCACAACCCGATTAAACCACGCTGTCAACAATTCGCACCCTCTACGTATCAAGTCTCTAGTAGGTTTACAGCGTGTTTCCAAAGGCTGCGGGCTCCTACAAAACCAGGTTGGACTGCCATCATCCATCTGCAGCTGGGCAAATGTGCCCAGAATTTTGCCTACTTTAAGAGAAGGGGTTAATGCTCAATTCTCTTTCAGATATTGAACCGTGACCACTAAGCCCACTAAATCCTTTTATTGCAATTGGGAATGATCAAAGTCTCTCTCCTTGTTTATTTCCAATTATTAACTGTAAAGCTCTGGGGAAAAGATCATGCTCCAGTGCTGTCAAGTCCAAATGACTACGTAAACATAAGCAATCACCGAATCACCGCGCTGGTGCCTCTCCCCGCAGCATCCCCTTCTACAGGACCTATTCTGACCTGCAGCAAAATCTGGAAAACACAGTGGACCTAACTCACCAGTCCCGGCGCATCCCACAGCGAGGGGGAAAGTTGTAGTGTCTTCCAGGGACAAGAAGAGAAAAAGGGGGGAAAGAAGTGCAGAGAGAAAAGGAGCCTCCAACAAGGCTAGCTAACGTCCAGGCACCGTCTTCACTCCAAAACAAAGCTCAAAATCTGAAATGCCCCCCTCCTGGGGAGCACGCCCCAAGTACCTACGGCACCCCTGTCCAAGGCTCCCACCAAACACCACCTTGAAAACTTTACCCTTTCCACCGCAAACGCACAAGACCTTGGGAACAACTGGGAACCGCCATCTTACCAGCCATCCAATTTCACACAAGTGTCCCTCCAAGTTAAGTTAATAACATTTCTGCCGAGGCTCCCCCCAGCCTAACACCCACCTCGCCGGGATCGCCGCCCCCCACAGTACCCGTCCCTATAAGATGGGGCGTCCC